CCCCCCCGCACCGTCATCGCGTTGCAGCGGCTGCTGGCGGCGATTCGTCGCGTCCTCGTCGCACCCGCGGCCGATCGTACGTTCCTCTCTCTCTCTCGCTCCTCGCGCGCCCGACACGCGAGCGTGTGCCTCTCTACGCGCATGTGTTGAGTGGCGGCAACGCAGACAGGCGCGGCCGCCGGAGCCCCCATCGGCAGCGGCAACGGTGGCGGCCGCCGGCAGCGCCGCCCGTCGGCGACTCCCCTCAGTTTCGGGCAAGATGGGCGCACCTCGCCGGGCAGTAGCTTAGTCTCTACCTACAAGACAACACACACACTAAATGTTTCCTATAGTAACAATTAACCAATTGTATATTAATCTTATTTAAGGGAAACATAAAACGCGCGCGCGACGAGAAAGAGGCACACACACGTACTCTATACACACACGCAAGCTCTATTTTTGTAATAACGACGTTGTAATAACGACGTAAATTCTCAAGTAGTGTGCTCTCGCCGCGAGACAACGCGGTGTGTAATCTGTACGACCGTTGAAAGAAGGAAAGAGAGAGAGAGAAAAGAGAGATCGAGCCCGTACTTTATAACCCGCGCTTCTACGTGGAAGTAGGAAGAGAAAAGGAAGATCGCGGAGGAACGAGAGGAAGTATCATCGCGAAGAGGAGGAAAGAGAAGAACGGGAGCCGAATAGACACACAGTAGACACAGAAGAGACGACGCATAGAGGAAGAGAGGAGCGGCCGTTGCTCGTGCATGTATACGTGTGTCCGTGTACGAGGCAGCCAGCAGCGGCTATAGTCGCTGGACGTGCATAACGTCGGGCCGAGACGGCGACCGCAAGGACGACGTCGAGAACGATCGCGGGTGGCGAGAATCGGGTTGGTGGCACCCTCCGGGAACGGAGCATCGGACGGGGTTTCGATCGCGGGGAAGGCCGACACGACGTGCCGCCGCCGCTTCCGTCGACAGTGGCAATAGAGGTGGTGGAGGATCAGCAGCGGCGCGCTTAAAACGAGAAGCGGCCGATAAGCGGCGGCGCGGTGCGGCGAGTTTTCCCCTTTGACACACGGTGCAGTCGTCAACGGCGGTCGCGGCGCCGTTAGTCTCTCCGTTTCGCGGCGCGGTGCGGCGCAGCGGAACGCAGCGTGCGTTGTCTCTCTCTCTCTCTCTCTCTCCCTCACTCTTTCTCTCGTTCGCTTCCCTTTTTCTCTCTCTCTCTCTCTCTCTCTCTCTCTCTCTCTCCCTCCTTGTTCCGAGACACTCGTCGGGTGTGTGCGGTGCGTGCATGGTGCGTTTGATACGTATATAGAGTAACGAGGAAGATAGTTAATAACGACGACGACGAAGCCGTTACGGGAAGAGAGGAAGAAGACGTCGTGGAAGCTAATCGGGCTGGCCGGTGTGCGTACTACCGTGAGGTAGTAGTTGACAACGGCGATAGCAGTGTAGTAAGTGGTGAAAAAAGTGCGACACACCCTCTTGACATCCGTCGTTGGCATCGGCTCGACAGCGGCCTCTCTCTCTTTTTCTCTCAGCTCCCTTCTTTTCTATCTTTCTCTCTTCCTGTCCTTTCCGCCGCCTCTCTCTCTCTCTCTCTCCTCCCCCCTTTTCCCCTTCTCTCTTCGTCTCGTCAGTCCGTCTCGCTTCTTCCTACGTACACTTACAGAATCGCCAACGTACGCGCTCTCTATCTCTCCCCTCTCCCGCATTCCTCCTCGTCTCTAACCGTGCACACGCTCTCTCTCTCTCTCGCGCTCGCTCTTGCTCTCTCTCTCGGTGCTGCTTTTCTCTTTTCTATCGCATCCTTTTCCATTCGATATTTCCATTTATCGTGGGGATTTTTGAAATCGACGACGACGACGGCTGGCCCAGGGTGCATTAGAAGAGGCAAAAGATACGGTGGTACAGAGCACGGGTCAGTCTGTACCCTCTCCACCCCCTCCTTCGCCGCCATTGGGCCATCCCTCGTCGTTGCACAGCCAAGCAGCGGCGCGTCTCGTCTCGCCCCGGTATTCTTACACTACGTCGCCGGACACACACGCACGTTACCACGATCTTTCCCCGTTTTTCATCTCCATCCATGTTTTCCCTTCTGGCGACGCTTCACTCTGGTTTTCACCGGCCGATCGGGAAAGTGCGAATTCACGTTTAGTAGTGATCGGTGACGTGCGTGCGTGCGTGCGTGCGTTCTCGCTTGCGTACGTACGTACGTGTGTGTTATATATATATATATATATATATATGTATATATACGCACAAGCGAGCGCGCTACAGTGTGTTGCTTTCTCTGCTCTCAGTTCTACGATCAGTGTCGCCGGTGAGCGAGGAAAACTCGTGCGGTGCGGCAAGTGACGACTTTGTCGGACGGGAAACGGACGAGAGAGGAACGGCGAGGAGGCGCCGACAAGCAAGAGGAGAAGAAGGAGAAGAAGGAGGAGGAGGAGGTGAAGGAACCGGAGTGGCGGCGCTAAAGCGACCGGCGGCGACGGCTGACGGTGGTTTTTAGGCTGCGCGCCGGCGTATTATTGTTATTATTGTTATTATCAACGCGACTGTGCAGCTGTATCGTCCATTCGACGGAACACCACGACGCAGCAACCACAAGGCCGCTAACATGTCTGTGAGATTGGAAAACGTGGCCACGAGGAAGATGAATTATAAAATGAGTATGGTGAGTACGTACGCATATGCAATTTGTGTGTGTGTGTGTGTGTGTGAGCGAGACGAGGGCGCATACGTGTGCCTCGTTCACGCTCTATCTTTCTCTATCCTCTCGGCGGACGAGACGGCGGGTGCGCAGTGCGCGCACGACTCGCCGCTTACTTCGCGCAGCTCCGTTGGTGCGCGCGAGCGCGTGTTAACGTGGCGTGCAACGAGTCTGGATGGACGCGCCGTCTTCGCGCTTTGTCTCTCTCTTCCTTTCGAAATCTCATTTCTTTTTCTCACTCTACCCGTCTCTCTCATTCTCCATCTTGTCCACATTCATCCATATTTTACGTACATTTTTTTTTTTTTTTCCCTCGAAAAGACAAAAAATCTATTTTTCGTTTCACAATACGCGTCGTAAATTGTAAAATAAATTCTCGCCTCTCCGTCATCTTTTTTCTGAATATACTAGGTCGGATTTCGAATGCGAAAGCATGATGTGTCGCGGCCGAAAAGGAAGAATTACCTAACCTAACCTTCTATTCTTGCATTTCTCTTTCTATCGCGCATGCTTTACCAAATCGTCGTACCCGCATGGTGCTTGGCACCATGTTCGCGGAAAATAGCATCGGGAAAACGCATGCGCGCGCTCGCGCGCGCGTACACGTCGCGGAAAAGCCATGGAGAGTTTTAATCATGGGGGCGGCCGCCGACAACGGCTTGCGGAACCACCGGTGTAGTTTGACAGTTTGCCGCGGGGCGTCTGGCTGCTGCCCCACCCAGAGTCGTCTCTTTCTCTCTCTCTCCCCCCGACCGTCCCGTGCCTCTTTCGACCGTCTCACCGTGCCTGTCGTACACCCTCCCTCTCCCCGTTGCCCCATTCTCTCTCCTCTCTCTCTCTCTCTCTCTCTCTCTCTCTCTCTCTCTCTCCTCTCTCTCTCTCTCTCTCTCTCTCTCTCTCTCTCTCTCTCTCTCTCTCTCTCTCTCTCTCTCTCTCTCTCTCTCTCTCTCTCTCTCTCTCTCTCTCTCTCTCTCTCTCTCTCTCTCTCTCTCTCTCTCTCTCTCTCTCTCTCTCTCTCTCTCTCTCTCTCTCTCTCTCTCTCTCTCTCTCTCTCTCTCTCTCTCTCTCTCTCTCTCTCCGTTGCCCCATTCTCTCTCCTCTCTCTCTCTCTCTCTCTCTCTCTCTCTCTCTCTCTCTCTCTCTTCGCTTCTCTCTCGTTCGCACGTCGCAAAACACTCGATTCGTCTCTCGACTTCGGCTTTCGGCCGCATATTTTCCTTTTCCTCTCTGCGTTAGTTTGGTGCGATTTGCGAGATGCCGACATACGGTCTTTTTACGACCACGGTAAATATTGTTGTAAAAATGCTGTTAAAAATCGTGTAATGCTTCAAGGCTCTTTTTTAATAGTACCTTAATTCAATGTTATAAAGTAGTACCATAAATACATTTCGAAATAAAAATGACTTCAGTATGTCCAATACGTATTGCTTTCATTGATTAAAAAGAATTATGCTGGGAGCTCTGCCAAATCTCGCTAGACTAATGCAAAATTAATAAATTTATGATTTATGACAGATATGTCCATAAAAATGAAAGATTCTTAGATTTGAATATGTTTCCCGATTGTGTTACATTTTTAAAATAGAGCGATACAAGATCTGTCTTAAACTATTATTATTATCGCATGCCGTTTTTATGAACGATCTATTGCACGAATTGGAATATTATACGCGTGTAACGCGTGATAAAGTGTTAACTCTTAAATCGAAATATATTTTATATAAATTTAACACACAATATAAATTCTTGTATCAATTATAAATATACATAATATAATTGTATACATTTATTATTGCATTAATCTACAATTTTCTGAAATTTAATGACAGTTATAATCTCATCAATTATCCACAATAAATAAATGTCAATTTATCTTTATGGTTTATAAATTAGAGAGAGAAGAGAAAGAGAAAAAAAAAACTATTTTTTCGTATATGCTGCATTGCAAAAAAATAAATTGGGAGGCGAAAAAAATAAATTAGAGAACACTTGTTTTTAACTGGACATATTTTTCGATATTTTACGATTTAAGGGTTAATATAATCAATCGATCAAATATATCTGTTCTCCTTTTCCATATTTTATTAAGAGGTATATGTCAAAAAGTTGGAGACTTATAAGATCGTGAATTTTCGCAATCCTACACATTAGTCAGGACGAAGTGAGCAAGACGAATCGAAAAGGTTGTCTTTAGAAAGGTATGTGGCCTATGTTAGAGTAGAAATTCGGTGGCGGATAGTAATGTGTTGCAAGTTGCAACAGTGTTCTCTCCGTGTGTGCTAATTTTAGCTCGGAACCTGAGAAGAGCCGAATGCTAGAAATTCGATGGGCACGAGTTCGCCATTCCTCCTGACCCAAAGGAGAATCCTAAGATCCGTGTGACTAATGTTTCGACCTCAAGGAGAAAAGCTTCTAGAAATTTACAGAATTTTTTTAAACACATCTTTGAGTTATTCAAAATATAATTAAACCTCCGCTGATAAAATTTATATTAAAGGTTCATAATTATTTTCTATTATTATTAAATTTATTCATCCAAGTCTCTCTTAATTAAATAATGACATTAATCAATATCAGAAAAACAACGTCAATATCTTATTATATTTAATAAAGATCAATAGAATTTATACAATCCGTCTATTGAATAACGCAAGATTAAAATGCGCATTCTTGATCGTGATTTATACTTTACGCTAAATACACTGTGTCACCGCGTTTTACCCCTCACTTAAATACAGTCGTGGTCGTCGCCGAGGAAAGGTTATCGCGTGCGATGAACGGAGTTCAAGCAACTCCACCGTGATCTGTTGAGAACAGTCATCGTACAAAACAGCTGTTCGTTTTTCGCGACGAGCTGTATCGATTTAGATTTCTTTTATGAGGGCATAAAAATACGCCGTTTCTGCCGTGCGATAATTGGGCGCAATTTTCTTATATGTACTAGTAATTTTATGTTTTCGTCATTATTTCTTATAACCGTGTCACACGTATTAAGAGTTCTAATCTTTAACTATCCATCTAGATAAATATAATTCAACGGTGTTAAAAATAATTCGAGAGAGATACGTGTTTAAAGAAATAAATATAATAAAAGGAAAGAGAAAATTATAATATTCACATTATTAAAAAAAAAAAATAATTATTATTAATATAATATTATAAATATATATTGAAAATAGATGACGTGTAAAAATAATTCTATGAATATATCAGTGGAACTTGCTTTTATAGATTAATATCACGAACTTTTATCTCGAATAATGATCTCTCGTGAGAAACGAAAAAAACGCGAATACGTCGTTACCGGTTAATTAAATCCTTTCGCACCTCGCTCGTTCATAATTGGTTTCAGATCGCGCGTTAATTGCAACGAGGTAATATCCGATAGTTAATGAGCATCGCATTGCCGGTACATGTCGGACATGCATCTTGCACTACGTAATGTATATGTGAATGTGAATTTAAGAGGGTCCGCAATAATCACGTAAGAGATCTATCCTGTATATTTTAATCAACGAGTTTCGAGAATGCTCCTCGGATAAAGAAAAAATTTTTTTTCTATTTTTTACAAACGATAATTAATCTGCCATTAATTTAGAACGCATTTGCATTGAAATCTACGAATTTAATTGTCAGATTACAAAAAAAAAAACATTATTAGTTCTCTCCGCTTTTTAAATTCACAGCAGACAATTATTATCATCAGAATCTCGACATCAGAGAACATTCCGATAAGATTGCTTATGTCACGTGTCAGCCTGAAATTCCTATATTTTCCTGTTTTTTTATCGCTTTTTTTCGGAACAGATAATTATGTTATTTTCTTTGTGTCCTTATCGAAAAGGGACGCTGATAGTAGAATCGCGTTTCGAGAGAAATAAACGCGTTAGAGAAAAAGAGAAAGCGAATTAGCACACGGATTTTCTTCGAGTTTGAAAGTCGCCTAATGATAAAGTTAATGTAAAATTACGACAAGTTAATGTCTTTTCAAAGTATTTGTCAACACGGCGGGACATTATCTGTGAAATTTTTCTATGTACTTTTTTCAGTTTATCGCGCCTCAATACCGTCATATATGTTATCGCGTTGTCAATACCCGACGATGATAAGTGACGTTTGCGCGTTAATAGAGTCGAGATTCTCGTCGTTAGAAATTTTTCAATTTTTTTCAGTTTGAATATATTTTTCTAAAATTTATTTCTCAATTTAAAATAATTTTTATTTCAATATAATTTTTTAAATAAGATACTTTTACACATATATTGTCCAATTCATTACCGTATTTATATGAATTTTTATATAGTCTCTTCTATTGTGCATAATTTGAGAAAATTTATGCTTTCAATTTTGCCATATTTGACGAATTTAATCCGAGCATATGTAAATATAAATCTTTATTTTGTTCTGGTTTTTTTTTTTTTTTTTTTATCGAACTGAATATCGTATTATAATAAATGATAAAATTGTGAAGATTAATCAGCTAGAAGAAAAGTAACCACCATTTCGTACTTTAAACTCCGCAATCTGCTTATCAAATATTTAATCACAAAATCCTCAAATCAGCGATTGGCCGATTTAATCACCATTGTGTGCATCAAAATATTTGATTGCATCTTATATAGTCGAAAATCGAATTAAATATAATATTCAATTTAATATTTTTAATATCAAAAACATTTAATATTTTCCCTCTCTTTCTCTTTTAATTTCATATATATAATCATTTTTTATTTTAGTTTTATATAATTTCTTATATTTTTCTTACAGTAATAATTATATAATATCTCAAAATCTTTTCAATTATTTAATTTTTAATTATTTTTCCCAATTTTATTAATGTTCGCATATAAGCTAATATACGGTTAATGCAGACTTGATAGCGCTCAAAACTCGTCGCGTACCGCAGAATTTTTTCTTTTTTCTTCGTTTTTGCGGCCAAGTTTTTTGCCATGGCTATCGTGATG